CAAAAATACAGACAGGTGAATGGTTATTTAGAGTACTACGCTGTTAATATAAGGATGTTATATACCAAGGAGAACTTACCACCAAGCTCTACATATTTCTCCTGACTGTATACAGCAGTCTATATCTATTCCAATCGGCTTGAATAATAGAAGCTCTAAACTTACAGAAAACCAAACACCCTACTAAAAGCCTCCCAGTGTTCCCTGATTCAACACAGCTGGAGCTGATCTTAAAGGTACATATATCACATCACAAAATTACAGACAGGTGAATGGTTATTTACAGTAAAAAGGTAAAGGTTTCCCTTGCTCGAAAGCCAGTCGAATCCGACTCTAGGGTTGCGGTGCTCATCTCCATTTCAAAGCCAAAGAGCCAGCACTGTCCGAAGCCATTTCCGTGGTCATGTGGCCGGCATGACTAAACACCAAGGCGCACAGAACGCTGTTACCTTTCCACCGAAGTGGTACCTATTTATCTACTTGCCATTTCTTGCGTTCAAACTGCTAGGTTGGCAGGAGCTGGAACTAGAGACGGGAGTTCAATCTGTCATGCGGCACCCGGGTCTCGAACTGCTGAACTACTGACCTTCCACAGCCTGCAGCGTCTTAACCACTTGAGCCACCGCAGCTCCTTTATTTAGAGTACTAGACTTTATTCAAAACATCCTTATATTAACAGTCTAGTACTTATTTAGAGTACTACACTGTTAATATAAGGATGTTTTGAATCAAGTGTCAAGTATTTTGGGGGACAGTGTTACAGTTTTTGACTGTGTTGTTATATGCGCAAGCCTCTTTGCTGTACTTCCATTTATTTACTCTAGCCACCTAAAGACTGGCAACCCTAGCCTGTGGCCATCACTACCCCCTCTGGTAACAAATCCCACATTTTAATCACTCGTTGAGTAAAGAAGTATTTTCTTTTGTCTTTCCCGTATCTATTTCCCTGCATGTGTTTCCTGTACAGCTTTTTCACATACAGGATGGCCGTTGTCCGCAGGGATCCCCACTGTCCTCCTGATCTGTGGGAGGCAGGAGGGTTACTTCCCAGTCATATCCTGATATCTAGGCAATCCAGTCAGGAAATACCTGCCTTCCGCCAGGCCCCACTCTGCAATTCCTTACTGACTTTATCATTGTCAAGGACTCATGGGGTGGGGAGGAAAATATACTGTGCCAGCAAGCCAGAAACACATGTCTTCTGAGGTCCTGGGAAAAGCCAGTTTGGTGTAGTGGTTGAGTGCGCGGACTCTAATCTGGGAGAACCGGGTTTGATTCCCCACTCCTCCACTTGCACCTGCTGATGTGACCTTGGGTCAGTCACAAGCTCTGGCACAGCTGCCCTTGAAAAAGAGCAGTTTCTGTCAGAGTTCTCTCAGCCCCACCCACCTCACAGGGTGTCTGTTGTGGGGAGGGGAAGGGAAAGGAGTTTGTAAGCTGCTCTGAGACTCCAAGTGGAGGGCGGGGTATAAATCCAATCTCTTCTTCTTCTTCTTTTCTTCTTCTTCTTTTTTTAATGAAGGGCTGTGGTTTGGAGCAGAGAGGTTTTTTCCCAGGCTGGGCATCCATTCTGTTCTTGTTTCCCAGATTTCTTCTGGCAACTCTCTAGCCACTTTCTACTCAGGTGTGAGCCAGACGTTCCAGATACAGAACTGTTGTGCCCCCGCCCCCCGCAGAATTGCACATTTGTGTGCAGAGCTTTTTTCGGCACTCTGGTGTTTATATTTCCTGTAATGTTTGTGTCAGTTTTTGTTGGTTTCTGCTTCCTTACTCATAAGAACATAAGAACATAAGAGATGCCAATGTTGGATCAGGCCAAAGGCCCATCCAGTCCAACACTCTGTATCCCACAGTGGCCAGAAATACCAGTGCCATCAGGAGGTCCACCAGTGGGGCCAGGACATTAGAAGCCCTCCCACTGTTGACCCCCCCCAAGCACCAAGATGACAGAGCATCACTTGCCCCAGAGTCCCTATCTATACCTTGTGGCTAATAGCCACTGATGGACCTCTGCTCCATATGCTTATCTAATTCCCTTTTGAAGCCGTCCATGCTTGTAGCTGCCACCACTTCCTGTGGCAGTGAATTCCAAGTGTTAATCACTCTTTGGGTGAAGAAGTACTTCCTTTTATCCGTTCTAACCCGACCGCTCAGCAATTTCATGGAGTGCCCACGGGTTCTTGTATTGTGAGAAAGGGAGAAAAGTACTCGTGTACTTCTTTCCTGTGCTCGTGTTTGGGGAGGGGGGAGGAGTTTAAAATCGTTAAAATATTGTTTAAATGGCTAAAAGCGTCTTAACCACTTGAGCCACCGGTAGACGGTGCAATTTTTATTCCTCAGGGCAGCCCTTCCTCTGGCCACACCCACTCAAGAGGGATTCCCACCTCTCCTGAAGACTATTTCTCCACTACTACCTCCACTATCTAAAGTTGCCAGTTACCCCCTGGCCTTTGGTGGGGTACTGGGGGGCATTTTGCAAGGCTATCTGCCACCTTTAAACAAAAAGCGTCTTTAAGGCTTGGAACGGTAGGCGGGCGCAATTTTTATTCCTCAGGGCAGCCCTTCCTCTGGCCACACCCACTCAAGAGGGATTCCCACCTCTCCCGAAGACCATTTCTCCTCCACCACCTCCACTATCTAAAGTTGCCAGTTCCCCCCTGGCCTCTGGTGGGGTATGGGGGGGGTCATCCTTTGCCGTCCCCGTCTTCTTTGACCTTCAATCTTTCCCAGCATCCCTTCTCATTTGGTGGCCAAAGTGGGATACAATTACATAAATTCCACCCTCCTAAGCAACAATTTTCTCCAGGAGAACTGATCTCTGTCATCTGTAGATAAGCTGTAATTCTAGAGGGTCCCCAGGCCCCACCTGGAAGCTGGCATCCCTACCACTATCCCATTTTTACCAGGAGAGAAAATAAATTTGCCTTGCCGGCAACATGTTGTAACATAACTTTCGTCTGGAAGCATAACTATTTACGACTTCTGACAACGCCAACACCAAAAGGCAGATAGGTCCAGACCACTGGAACAATTACTTGTAAAGGTCTTTCTGATGAATTACCTGTTTATGTCATTACTTTCTTGTCCTGGCAGCATCAATAATCCCATGAAGATCTTTTCACGTGCGCAGTCCTAAAGTCTGCTGCATTTTCAGACCTTGCCACAAAAATATAACAACAACATTCAAAAGATGAGCTTACCAGAGACTTAAACTAGTTTGGTGTAGACTCTAATCTGGGAGAACCGGGTTTGATTCCTCACTCCTCCACTTGCACCTGGCTGGATGACCTTGGGCAAGCCATAGCTCTGATAAGAGCTGTCCTTGAAAAAAGAGCAGTTTCTGTCAGAGCTCTCTCAGCCCCACCTACCTCACAGGGTGTCTGTTGTGGGGAGGGGGAGGGGAAGGAGTTTATAAGCCGCTCTGAGACACATCTGGGTAGTGAAGGGTGGGGTATAAATCCAATCTCTTCTTCTTCTAGATTTGGGAGTCCTCTGGTGCACATAGAGTCCTCTGGCCAGCATAGAGTGTTTGCCCAAATGCAACAGGTGACATCATCATGCTGGGCATGTCAGGTGGGGCTCTTCGGAGGCGGGGCTTCCCCGCCAGCCAGCTGGCCAGCAGCGGATTGGGGAGCCCGAAATCAGAAGAACCCCCAGCCCCATCGGGGGAATGGCAACCCTAGCTGGTTCTGGCCCGCAGGCCATCTGTTTGACACTCCTGCTCTATGGCGTTATGCCCCACTATACCCTCTCCAAATGAAGGGTTGCAAACCAAACAACTTCCTACGATGGAGGCCGCTGTTTCTGAATAAGGCTCCCTGTGGACACCAAGATGATGCCTGACAGGTTCTTCTGAAACACCTCCTGCTCCAGTGAGCTGGTGGAAATCCAGGACTGGCTCTTTGCTTTGGGAAAGAGATCCTTTGTCAAAGAAAGGAAAGGGCCCCAGGAAACCCATGGATGGGTGCCATGGCACCCACAACCACCACTCTGGGGATCACTGGGTAAGAGTGTCGGACTCAAAAAAAAAAGTGCTACCCTGACCTGGATAGCCCAGGCAAGCCCGATCTCATCAGATCTCAGAAGCTAAGCAGGGTCGACTCTGCCAAGTGCTTGGATGGGAGACCTCGTTGAAATACCAGCAGCCAGGAGGGCAGGAGGAGGCTTTATTCAGCCACCTCTCTGAATATTCTCCACACCCCCAGTAGGGGTCAGTCACCAGAGGTCGCCATGACTTCCGGGCGTGCACACATTCAGATGCACATACATGAACGTATGAACAAAACAAAACAAATGTTATGTATTAAGATGGCTGTGACTGCGTGCGCCTGGCCATGCGGTCTACAGGACTTACAGACCTTTGGGTCTAGAACAATAGCCACCGCGGATCCTAGTGCGGACCAGTGGGAACGCTAGGATCCTGTAGAGAACCTATCGCTACCAGAGGCATGTATATAGAACCTATCACGGGAAGTGGGGGGATGCTGAGTGGGAGTGAGTGCACAAATATAAGCCGGCCTCGTACTAGCTAAATCATCTCTTTTCGTTCCGATGTAATCAATAAATGTGAGCTGATTTCACTATACTATGCCTGGACCTCCACTTTTTGTTGTTGTTTTTCGCATGATGTACTCTGCATATATATTAAATAAGCAAGGTGACCAAGCGTGATCCACTGGAGAAGGAAATGGCAACCCACTCCAGTATTTTTGCCAAGAAAACCCCATGGACAGTAACAAAAGGACCTCCACTACTTTACAAAAAAACCCCAACAAAAATAAGCTGTGCACAGTCCAAGCAGATTTCTTGTTTCCCCACAGCAGAATGCCAGTTCCCACATACCATTTTGTTTTACAAGAGTTCAGAGCAAACAGGGTGAAAAAATGGGATTGTATCACTGCATCCTATATTCCACAAAGTCTGCCTCCCTGTTGATCCAAAGAAGCCTCAAATAATTTTATTCTCCTGCTTTCCCCCCCACCTCTTTCTCTGTGCCTCAGGGTCAGCTCTGCATTGCTACAAATGCAGCTTCACCATTTTCGATCTCCCCTGCATCACCAAAAATGTTACCTGCCAAGCTGATGAGGTTTGTGCAACCATCAAAGGGTCAGCAGGTAAGAGTGCTTTTTCGTTGCCTCCATTCCCCTCCCTTTCCCCTGATTCTGCTCTCTGCCCTACTTGAAGAGGACATTTCAGTGCCAGCAGTCACGTAAATATTCCTTAAAGGAATGTGATAAGTGAAGATTTACAGACATGCAGGTTTTTGAAGCATACTGAGATGCAGGGAACCCATTTAGGCAGTCATTTTTTTTTGCAGGAACAGGTATTTTTAAGAGAATCCAAATCTAAAGAACTTTATAACCTGTCCCACCATCAGAGCATAACATTCCAAGTTCTTCTGTATCATTATCTCTTCCCCCCTTTATTCCTTGGCACTGCTCTAAATTAGAACTTTTCTAAGTGGAATTAGAATCCCTGTATTTGGCTAGGTTCCGAAGAATTACTTTAGGCACACCCGAGGGCCTATTCAAATCCACTGGAATTTGTTTCTTTGAGCAGCTGATTCCCATGGCATATTGCTTAGTTTCCTTAGTTGCACAAGTATTATGCTTTTTGGTACGAGCAGCTGGTCCTTGGGGCATAGAACAAGATGTATGTTTCTCTATAACATGACCTTGTGTTTTTGGTTATATGAGAACATAAGAGATGCCAATGTTGGATCAGGCCAAAGGCCCATCCAGTCCAACACTCTGTATCACACAGTGGCCAGAAATACCAGTGCCATCAGGAGGTCCACCAGTGGGGCCAGGACATTAGAAGCCCTCCCACTGTTGACCCCCCCAAGCACCAAGATGACAGAGCATCACTTGCCCCAGAGTCCCTATCTATACCTTGTGGCTAATAGCCACTGATGGACCTCTGCTCCATATCTAATTCCCTTTTGAAGCCGTCCATGCTTGTAGCAGCATCTTTAATACAGGCAGATATAGCCCGGACTATGATGTTTGCTGACTGTATGTTCCATTGGATGCTGCTACCACCCACTATCACATACGAATTATTGCAGAATTAGCACTTTGTATGTTTTTATATGTATATTGTTATGATTATGATATGTTTATGATTCTATTTAAATCTGTTTTGGTTGTGCAATTCTCTATTTTATGGAAGCCGCCTTGAGCCTGCCACTGCAGGGAGGGCGGGGTATAAATTAAATAAACAAATAAATAAATAATAAGGTCCCAGGTCTAATCCCCAGCAACTCCCGCTAAAATATCTGGCAGCAGGTGATGTGAAAGACATCTGCCTGAGACCCTGGAGAGCCACTGCCAGTCTGAGGAGACAATACTGACTTTGACAGACCAAGAGTCTGAGTCAGCATAAGGCAGCTTCATGTGTTCAGTTTCAGGTGACACTCTAGGAATTTTCACTAATCTCAGTGCTAAAGACCATAGAGACTAGGGGAAATTCCTAGAGAGTCATCATCGATGCCACCCCTCCCCCACATTTTTCTCCTCCTCAAGTATCTAGGATAGGAGACTGAGGGTGGTGCAGAGGATTGCTCACTTGCATCATTAGCATAGTCTTAGCAAACCCCTTCTTCCTCACACGAAGGTTCTGTAGTTTCATTAACCTCTTGTTCTTTCCCTGATCAAAATTTTCTATGTATTTTAGGTTAAGGAAAAAAAAAGCCAGAGCAGTTAAAAAAAAATTAAATTTACATAAACAAGCAGGGGGAAAGGGGGGGGGGGGGGACAGAAATAAAAGTACAATAAAAGCAATGCAAACAATAAATTGCAATAGATTACACCCTGGGTTTATCCCAGATCCCCAAGATCAGCTGGCTCAGGGCTACAGGCTAAGGAACAGAAGCCTTTGGTCACACCCAGGTCAAAATTACTGCAAACAGGAAGGGAACCAGAAACTCAGCTCAGGACTTACGACCTGGCAGCTGTTCCCAAGAATCTCCCTTGCTTTGCTCATCCTTTGACTGTGCCTAGGAAGGGGATTTGTTTGAGGTTTTTTTAAAATTTATTTCACATATTTCGATGCCTGCCTTTCTCCTGACCATGTCCGCACCCAAGGTGGGTGTAACGGGAAAGCTCAGGGAAGCAGACGTGCTCAGCCCTGATGCTCCTTAGCGGGGTCCAGATGTCCTTGAGAATTCCCCTTCCTCTGCTCCTGTTGATAGGGAGCTAAATACAGGATTTAGGGGGAGGAGGGGCTGCGGCTCAGTGGTAAAGCATCTGCTGGGCATGCAGAGAATCTCAGGTTCAGTCTCCAGTACCTCCAGTTAAGGATCAGGTCATGAAAGACCTCTTCTGCCTGAGACCCTAGAAAGCCTCTGCCACTCTTAGACAATTCAGACCTTGATGGACCAATGGGTCTGAGTCAGTATAAGGGAGCTTCACGTCGGTGCGCATGTGACTGCTGCCAAAACATCTCCTTCCATAACTGCTATTTTTCCCACCTTGTCTCTTCCCCTGTAGCTGGCCACAATTTAATCAAGAGGAAGGGTTGCGTCCCCGAGAAAAACTGCAACACAACCTCCACTGAGTCATACCTAAGTGTCAAATACACCACCACTTATTACTGCTGTGACGGAGACGCATGCAACTCGGCCACCACGCTGTCCTCTGCTCACCTTTCCCTATCCATGGCACTGGCCATGCTGGGCTTCTGGTTTACTCAGCTGCTCTAAACACTCTCCCCCCACCCCCAATCAAAGAGAGGGAGCAACTTCTCCA